ATATATTTCCTAAACAAATAAACCAGCAGCTGCAATTGAAGGGTGAGAGAAGGAAAGGAGGAGGTACCAAGAAAAGGATCCATAAGGCGATCCTATGCAAGTTGACTCAGACAAGCAGTCCCACTGAATTTTACGAGACCAGTCAAACTCAGATAGGATTGCAACCCTAACAGTTGGTTATTTTCTGTGCATTCTTTGTCTTTATATGCATGCTGTCCAAACACCAATGTGATCCTTCCAGAGCATCAACATATATATATATATATATATTTAAACAACATATGCACCCCCACCATCATGGCAGGGCAAGCTACTGTATATAAACAGAGAGCAAACCCACTCCCTTCTAGCACTGAAGATGTTACCTAGTCAGGTAACGAAACGTCTGCAAGAAAACAAGCTCAGAGAACCCCAAGGACTCCACAATATAGTTTTTTTTTAATCACTAAGAAAACAAGTCCTTCTTGGTTCAAAACTCCCAGGCAGAAGAATAAGATTCTAAGCCAAGGCTCACCAACCAAGTGACCTCCACAGTTATAGTGGACTAGAAAACCCAGTCAAGCCAGCTGTGAGCTATGGGATCAGTCATCCAACATACCAGAATAGTGCAGGTTGAAGACGACCAATTATCTAAGCTTTAAAACCATTTTTTTTAAAAAACAGACAAAGCAAAAGCTGAGCCAAGGCCTTTCTATCCTGACTTGTGTAATTCTCAACACACTGCGAACTCTGCAAATCAGGCGTCTGCCCGGGGTGTTCGTAAGAAAAGGTGGTGCAGGAGACAGAATCATTCTGGCAAGCAACATAGATTCCCTACCAGCTGTTCCAGATGTGGCATCCAGCTTTGTCTTGCGATGCCTTTGGGCGAGGCAGTATAATTTGAAAGCACCTTAGTTTCACCAGTTTACCCCTCCCTTGTTTTGGATTGGAACAAAATAAAGGATAATAATAATGCCGTTTCCCAGACCAGCATGCTCCAGAGGAATAGACTCCTCCTCCTATCACTTTCAGCAACTGTGCTGGTTAAGATTGATGGGTTTTGTAGTCTTCTCCAGCGGGCACCAACTGGGGAAAGTCAGCTGAAACCCTGCTTGCATGAGAAGGCACCTTATCACTGACCACACCTCCCATGCAAGCTGGCTGATGGACTACAACTACCATTTCTGGCTGGGAAGCAAAGAACCATGGGAGCTGTAGCCCAATGGGGCGGTTTTTTTGGATAGGACTTCATTTAAAAATCAATCCGGGCATTTGGATTAGCATTTACTCATTATCACCGCGCAGCAGGACGCGCTATTTGCTTACATTTAACTGCAGGGGGTAGGACGAAATCTAGAGGCAGAAACTACAATCCCCACCATGCCTTGCGCCTCCCGCTTGCGTGATAGCTTGCAGAAGCCTGGTAGCACGCCTATCTATGTATGTATGTATGTATTTAATTAACCCCAGATAGTTTCGTCTTACCAAAGGCGGAACCAGCTGGCTCAGGCGAAAAGACACCGCGCAAAAACTTACGGGACGCACTAACTCGCCCACGGTTCGTATCGCTCTTCACGGGGAAAAAGAGAAGCAGCAAACAGGAGAAGTGGAAGAAGCGGGGGG